GAGGGGGACCAGGTTTGCTGGTCCGATAGAGCCTGATGGAACTGCTGAGACTATGGGCCCTAGCTGCCCTTCAGGTCTGGAATTGAACCCACACCTGCGGTTTCCTGCCAAACAAAAGACAGGCATAGGAGTTGAACATTTCCCTGAGATAGATACACTCCTTGGAGAGAACAATCATAGGAGAAAGAAGGGCTGCTTATGCACAGGGAGACAGCTCAGGGGGCAGGAGTGTATGGAGGGAAGGACACACGGAAGAGGTAACTATAGGGAGGAAGTGGGAGGGGAGCTGTTGCATTGTGGTAAATGTCATGAGACAAAGTTTATGTGAACTGCTGTATGGAAAGTGATTTTGCTCTGTAAATTTTCACTCAAATCACAATTAAAAAAAAGTTTAAAATTCTTCAGTGGATGATTCTTTGTGCTATGCAAAACTCAGCCATATAATGAAGTAAAATCAGAGAACAAAATTCACAATGCTGACAATTCAATACCTTTCCATCAATGGGAACACCCAGTTCCTCCGAAAACAGGGGGTGAGTTATCCATTTGTAGGCTTCTTTTAGCTGAACTATATCGTTTCTTCCCAAAGACAGACTCTGCTTTCTGAAGAAGATAAAAATTAATTCACTGACATGAATAACTTTACCTTTTCTACTAAAGCCAAGAATTTATACAATTATTTAAAAATATTTATTGAGTGACTATTCCATGGGCCAGGCACTATTTTACGCATTAGAAAGAATGTAGAGAACAAAACAGACAAAAATTCCTTGCCTATGGATCTTATGTTCTAGTAGGATCAAGGAACTCCTTTTTTAAAGGCATAGCCAATACAGTGTTTAAAGATTCAAAGACAAAAGCATACCAATGAGTTTTTCTGGGCTAAAACTGCCAGATTCCAGGATTTATATATCAAAAGCCAGGAAGTTGGAATACAGGGGATTGTCTATTGCTGGAATCCCTGGGTGGCACAAATGGTTGACGTGCTTCCTCAAGCAACTTACAGGTTGGAAGTTTGAATACACTCAGACGTGCCTAAGACGAAAGCCTTGGTGACTTGCTTCTGAAAAATCAGGCACTGAAAACCCTAGCATAGTTCTCCTCTGACACACACGGGGTAGTTATGGGTAGGAATCCACTGGGTGACAACTGGCTTATTGCTCAGACACTATAAAACTGTACATTACAATAAACTCATCCAGACTGAAAATGTTTGCATCTACTTTCTTGCTGACAATGGGGTTTACTTTGGGGAAATCAATGTAAAAGCCATACTTTTTTTTTTTTTTTTTTTTACTACTGAAGAAGAAATACTAAATCCTAAACTATCAATGTTCTGATATGCTCACCAGTATACTATTAGATAAATGTCTGAATAAAATATGACATTCCCTCAAAATCTACTCACGAGTCAGTAAATGGGTTTTGGGAAGTTCCCATTATGAATTCTAGCTTTTAGTTCACAACCTAAAATTAGTGATAGAAAGGACCTGAGGTAAGAGGAAAGACATGCTACTGTGTTACTTAAACTTCTCTACTGAGAACACTATAATACCACTAACAAACTAACAAACCCACATCATTCATATATTTCAAAGTTCAAATCAACATATGGCTGCTTTTCATAAAATAGATCTTAGGGCCAACTTAGAAGCTCTGGTAGCATAATGCCTAAGGCACTTGACTGCTAACAAGAAGGCTGGCAGTTCAAACCCACCAGCCACTCCTTGGAAGGAAGGTTGGGCAATCTACTTCCGTAGTGATACCGCCTCGACCCAAGGAGGGGTCGCTATGAGTTGGGTCTGACTCGACGGCACATAACAACAACAGGGCCAACCTGTGAATCATCCCTTTTAATGACCTATTGCCACCAACAGAAATGACCACTTATAGGCAATATCTGCTGCAATTTCATTCAGCAAGAGGGAGAATCAAAAAAAAAAAAAAAAAAAAAACTAAAACTCTAAAAGGGAGAGACACAACTAATTGCAGGTAGAAAATAAGAAGTAATTTAGCTAATGGCTAAATTTAACTGATCTTTTTAAAAAAAAAAAAAAAAGGATATAAAGACCACTGTTCTTCTAAAAATGCAAATTAAGAAACAGTTGATCTACCCAGTCTGTACCCAGCTGAGGATACTATCGCGGTTACATGGAACAGAGTGCTTTCATATGCTTTGAGATTTGGGTTTAACAATGAAATCTCCAGATAAGCCCTATATCTGACAAATAATCAAATTACTTCTCTACATTCAAGGATTGATTCAAACACTAAGCGTTGTGAGCTTTATAAACTGTTCATAATTCTCTGAATATTAGAAACATTTTAGGCTTGTTAAAAGACTAACTTAATATTGTATTCATAGCTTAACTAATGCTATTTGCACACAAGTAACATCACAGTTGAAAAGTCCAGTTAAATAATGTCAACTAGAGGTAGTTCTTTTCTTCCAAGGAGCCAAAGAAAAGGTTAACAGATATCTTAGATACCTTACCTTTATATAAAAGGCAAAAATACAATACTTAAAATGCCAGATATATACTCCTAAAAGTTGAATGTGGCTGGTAACTTTTCTAATATAATTTAGGGTAAAGTTTTCATAGAGGTCCTTAGCATGTGCTTGATTGTCCTTTAGAGACATTAGTGCTAATGAAGGTAAATTTAGTCCCCATTGAAGAAGCCCTGGTGGTGCAGTGGTTAACTGCTTGCCTGCTAACCAAAATGTCATTGGTTTGAACCCACCAGTTGCTCTGCTGGAGAAAGATGTGGCAGTCTGCTTTAATAAAGATTACAGCCTTGGAAACCCTATGGGGGCAGTTCTACTCTGTCCCATAGGGTCGCTATGAGTCTGAATTGACTCACTGGTAATGGGTTTGGTTTGATTTAAGGCAAATTCAGCCCCCATTTATTTCTTAATAACTACATTTCTCTGTTTTCTGTTCCATAACTACTGAAGAGGACATTAATTACAATCACTTTTGCTATAGAGACAACACAAATGACAACCATTCTAGATGAATCAAAATCTCCAAAGTAATTGATTTTTTCTAAATTCCTTCAAATGATTCTTTAATGGCAATTCTTCCACAATCTTTTGAACCTAGAATGAATTCGGGACCCAGAGGGAAAAGATTAGTGTCTTATTTTTTTCTGTTCCAGTATCCTTATATTGATCAGGATCTTTGGGAAGAACTAAACCTAGTTAGAAATTCTTTCATAAGGAATGAAAACAATGCACAAGCAACACGAATACAAATTGGAAACATTTAGAAATAGCATCCTGTGACTACAGTCAACAACATAGGGTCAAATTTTGTTATTGCACCAGCATCACAAGTACCTGAGACTAATTCAAGATAAACTAATTAAACCCCAAAACCTTTGATAAATATGTGACTTATTACCATTTTAAAAAAAGCAGATGTGAGATATAAAAATATATAAAATCTATATATTTTTTTCTATAAATCATTTGACCAAGTGTGAGATTCTAATACAGAAATCACAAGAACCTGTGGCAGTTACATTGCCATTTGCATAATGATACAGAATTTTTAGTTTCAAAATTCAAAAAGCTCTGGAAAACTAACGATTTTCTTTCTTCTTCTCAATTTAGTTGGCAACCAAATCCTGATCTGAATATGTATGGCTATTTAGAAACTATTTATCAAACTTGGTGTGAATATTCATGTTTCATTACAGAAATCATATGTTTGATTATATAGTACGATCCCAGACTTTGGAGGGGATGACCATATTATTTACATCATATTACATTTCTAAAATTGGGAAAATTCTAAATTCCAAAACACAATCTCCAAAGATTTCTGAATAACATAAAAATTAATAAGATAAGTAATTATGGACCTTTGTTTTCTGTATCTTATTTATGTGTCAAAAAAAAAAAAAAGCCAAAAACTTTGCTGTCAATTTCATCTCATGGTGACCCCATCTATTTATATAATTTGCTAAAAAACTCACTGCTGTTCATTATTGTTCTGCCTTAAGTAGGCCTTTACTTTGCAACATTTTTTTTATTTTGCATCTGCACTTCTAAGACCAATGTAAAATTTATTCTTTTAAAATAACTGCCCAAACTATATCATATAAGTGCCTAATGTATATAAAATGTGTTTATATTCACATTAAATCTATTTTAAAAACAAATCAACTCTAATGAAGTTTAAATATGATATGCCAATAAACTGATTAAAAAAGGTTAACATCTGAAAACTTCTACAGTACAAATCTCTCCACATCAATCTCTCTAGTAGGTGGTGAGCTTACTCTAGAAAAGAGAGAATAGTAGTAAACATAGGTTAAGAATCATGGAGCTTGAATTTAAATGGTAATAAAAATTCCCTACCTAAATTACTTACCCCATTTCCTGTTTTACCAGCAACCATGCGGCATGCTGTAGGCAATTTAGTCACACCCAGAAAGAAAAGAAAAGGGGGAAAATGTTCAGTGAAATTAAGTTCCAGTATTATTACTGAAGTATTTAACTAACTAGTTAACCAAACTCCCCTTTTTAGGAGAGGAGTAGTGTTCAAATGTGGCAGTGACCTCAATCTCATTTAAAATTAGAAATGAGGTAAGACTCTACCTCACAAGGCTGATTTGCTATGGCCTAGGAATTCAACAGGGGTATCCCCTCCTTACCATAGATTGCTATTTCTCATTAATGAGGTATGAGTGTTTTTAACATGGGTAGCTTACACATTTTTTTAAAATATCTTACTATTTCATGGGGGAAGGCCCAAAGAGCCAAATACATAGTCCCCGAAACATAGAAGTGAAGGCCCCAGTTTGTTTGTTTTCTTTTTTTTTTTAATTACAGCTAACAAATTTTTCACTCTATCTAGTTAAGGAGATCCATGTTTAAGTGTTTAGAAGTAAACTGTACTAATGTCTGCCACTCACTTTGAAGTACAACAAAAACTAAGAAGGATTGATGGGTAGATAAGTGGATATCTGGAAATAAGGCATTTGACTGTTAACCAGAAGGCTGGCAATTCAAACCCATCAGCCACTCCTCAGAAGGAAGCTTGGGCAATCTACTTCTGTAGTGATACTGTCTCAGAAACCCAAGGAGGGGTTGCCATGAGTCAGATCCGACTCAATGGCAGTGAGTTTGGTTTGGTTTTTGTAAGGAGCACTGGTGGTACAGTGGTTAAGGCATTTGGCTGCTAACCAAAAGATTAGTGATTCAAACCTACCAGCTGCTCTGTGGAAGAAAGATGAATCAGTCTGCTTCTATAAAAGATTTATAGCCTTGGAAACCCAAAGGGGGTCACTGTGAGTCAGAATCAACTTGATGGCAGTGAGTTTGGCTTTTGGTAGAAATATAATAAAGCAAATAGAGATTGTTGTAACAATTGTACAATCTAGGTGGGAATATGGGTGTTCACTGTACAGTTCTTTCAAATTTTTTATGTGCATGAAAATTCTTGTAATAAAATGTTAGGGAGAAAGTTCTAGGAAGCATTGATAAAGAACTAAGGGAAAAATAAAAAACACTGAAATGAAGATCACATTCACAATCAGGGTTGTAGTGAAGATAAAATGAAATCTATGTAAAATGTTTAGCATAGTTTAAGTATAACACTAAGATTTCTCAGTTTCCCATTAGATTTCCATAGCTTCCACCTTAAAAAAGGATAATGGGCATTACCTCAGTATCCTGCATTTGGAAACAGGATAGAGGCACACATATATATGTCAATAAAATACCACATGTACTCTCTGGTTCTACGTGTCACAAAAAAGGGCCAGTTGTTATCATTCATATCCACCTCAAGACCTGGTTTAATATGTATGCTGCTGTGTGTGTGTAGAATCCATTCGTTTTAAAGAAATGGGGCTCCCTCCAAATGACTAGCGGTGCACTAGAGGCTTTGGATGAACAACTTATGATCATTCAGAAACATTGGGTTCATTCATGAGTTCAAACTTGTGCCATGTGGAAAACATTAATCACTAGTTCCCATTGCCTGCATGTCTCTCCAGTACCTTCTGATGTGTTGGTTTGTTTACTCTAGTAGCTCTAGTACCACTTACAGTACACAAAGACTCCTTCTTTCTTTTCTCCTATTTACTCAAATCCTCTTCCAAAGCACACAGGCAGACTAGGCTTTAGATTAATTTCTGGGACTCAGTTTCCTAATGTACAAAATGAGACAGTTGGTCTAAGGCGATTGTATTTTAAACTTTTCTGGTTGGAAAACAGTTATCATTAATGGACATTAGTTAGTATACTGTTTTGTAATAGAGGCTGTTAAGATTTAGAGGACTCTGAGATCACAGGGTAAATGAAAAATGGCCTCCTAAAGCTGAAACCTTGTAGTCAGTACCATCCAATCCCTCCTTCAGTCCCTTATTTTAAGAGATCAATCAACACTTGCTCCTCATCAATAAAGAAACAAAATTTAAACCAGTTGCCATGGATGCAATTCCAACTCATGGCCACCTCATGTGTCTTAGAGCACAACTGCACTAAATACAGTTTTCAGTGGCTGTGATCTTTTCAGAAATAGATTGCCAGGGCTTTCTTCTGAGGTGATTTTGTGAGGATTTAAGGAAGTCATGCATATAAAGAATCAAGTAAAACTCCTATCATGTACTTAGTAAATTATCATTTTGCTGTTACTAGGGAGCCCTGGTAGCACAGTGGTTAAGCGCTCAGCTGCTAACTGAACCCACCAGTTGCTCCATGGGAGAAAGATGTGGCAGTTGGCTTCCTTAAGGATTACAACTTGGGCTTACAAGACATACTAAAGGGAATCCTTTGAACAGAGAACCAATAATAGCAAACAACAACCAACCATTAATTCACTAGATGACATAACACAGAAACCAACACAGCTATGGAAGTATCCAAAGTAAATAGCTTACAAGATTGTAAACAGGGAACCAGAGACATCAATTGGCAAATCAGGACAACTACAAACCAAAAAAAGGGAAAAAATAGAGTAGTTACAGAACTTCTAGATGGTGAGGAAATCAAGAGAGTTGCAAGATCGAATGGACAGTTCTAAACTCGGGGAGAAAATTATAAATCACAGGGTAACTCAATGAAAAATGATAAACCTTCACATCACAATAAAAAAAAGGGCAAGCACAAATATTTAGCAAATACTAAAACAACAGCAACAAGGGAAATGATAACATGATTCATAAACATAATGAACTCAGCACAGAAAATTATATGGAACAAAGAAACCAGGAACACCATGAAAAAACATGTAACAAAATGACAGCAACCAATTCATACTTGTCGATAATTACACTGAATATCAATGGATTAAATGCACCACTCAAGAGACAGAGAGTTGCAGACTGGATAAGAAAACAAAGCCCATCGATATGCTGTCTATAAGAGACATACCTTAGAGATAAAGACAAAAATAGACTAAAAACCAAAGGTTGGAAAAAGGTATATCAGGTAAATGGCAACCAAAAAAAGAGTAGGAGTGTCTATATTAACTTCTGATCAAATTGACTTTAAGAAAAAAACCACCATAAAAGACAAGGAAGGACATTATATAATGATTAAAGGATCACTTGAACAAGAAGATATAACCATAATAAATATCTATGGACCCAATGAAAGAGCTGCAAAATACATAAATCACACTTTAACAGAACTGAAAAGACAAATAGATGACTCCATCCACAGTCATTGTAAACAAAAAAACCAAATTCATTACCATCAAGTTGATTCATAGTGACCCCTCCTTGGGTTTCCGAGGCAGTATCACTACAGAAGTAGATTGCCCCATCTTCCTTTTGAGGAGTAGCTGGTGGGTTTGAAACACCAGCCTTCTGGTTAGCAGTCAAATGCCTTAAGCACTATGCCACCAGAGCTCCCAATGAAAGATAGAACAACTGGAAAGAAACTCAACAAAGGCTCAGAAGAGCTAAACAATACCATCCACCAACTTGACCTTATAGACGTCTACAGAGCACTTCCCCAACAACAGCACAATATGCATTCTTTTCCAGAGCACATGGAACATTCTCCATGATAGACCACATGTTAGGCCATAAAGCAAGCCTTCATAAATTTAAAAACATTGGAATACTGCAAAGCATCTTCTCTGATCACAATGCTATAAAATAAAATTAGAAATCAACAATACAAAGATCAATGGAAAAAGAGCAAACGCATGGAAACTGAACAAGACCCTCTTTAAGAATGACTGGGTAAAAGAAGAAATGACAATCTACCAGCCACTACTCAGAAGGAAGGCTGGGCAACCTACTTCTGTAGTGATATTGCCTTGGAAACCCAAGGAGGGGTCGCTGTCGGAACCAACTCGACAGCAGTGAGTTTGGTTTGGTTTGGTTTGGTATGGGGCAGTTCTACTCTGTCTTATAGGAGGATCACTACAAGTCAGAATCAACTCAACGGCACACAACAACAATAATGTTGTTGCCAAATTGGAAACTTGCCTCCAATTTCCAAATAATAAAATTTAGATTTATCCCTTAAAAGATTTACAGGACTGATCCCATTCCTTCATATCCCCAAACTGCTTTGCTATAGATAGTTCTAGAATCTCACTCATCAGTGAAATCCTCAGGAGCCCTGAATGGCACAAATGGTCAAGCCTTCAGCTACTAACCAAAAAGTTGGTAGTTCAAACTCATTCAGAGGCACCTCCAATGAAAGGCCTGGCAATTTGCTTCCCAAAAAACCCTATGGAGCAGTACTTTGAAACACATAAGGTTGCCATCAGTCAGAACTGACTGGACAACAACTAGTTATCTGAGCTGTAGAGGCCTCTCTCTCCTTTCTTTAAAGGGACTCAAACCCTTCTGCCCTTTTCTAGTGACCTTTTTGTCTCTCCTCTAAGACAAATTCTGTTTCCTACAGTCACTTCTAGGAGCTCTGGTAGGGTAGTGCCTAAGGCATTTAACTACTAACCAGAAGGCTGGCAGTTTAAATCCACCAGCCACTCCTCGGAAGGAAGGTTGGACAATCTACGTCCATAGTGATACTGGCTTGGAAACCCAAGAAGGGGTCTCTGTGAGTCAGGTCCAACTCCACAGCAGTGAGTTACAGTCACTTCTAGGTGATGCCATCAAGTCTGTAATGTATCCTGCCATCCTCAGATTACAAAGTAGGGCAGAACTGGAGGTTGCCAAGGGATAGCAGATAACCATGTATAACATGTAAAATTAAATCAAATGTCTTCAGTGGCTGAGACTTGCTCAAGGGTTTTTCTTCCTGATCCTCTGCAGGCCTCTTGCTCAAGCATGCCAGCAGTTTGGACAAAGCTAATCACACAGCAGGGACAGGGAGGCTGAATCTCAAAGAAGTCACTGTTGCTCAATTATTGAATTTTTACCACATGCTAATAACACCCTGGACCTATTTCTGTTGAAGAAAAAGAAGTACCTTTCTCCCTT